TGCGCAGAACAACGGGCGAAAACCCCTGGCTTTTTGAAAGCCATACCCATGTTTTGGGCCAAGGGCAGTTCCCAATGAAATCACTTTTTTTCCTGGGCAACAAACCTTACCTTGGCAATCCTCTATCGGAAATAAAACCTTTTTACATGGCCCTTTACAGAACTTGAAACCAATCTTTGGGGAAATTTTGGGTTTTTTGGTTAAAATGAAGCCTATAAAAATAAATATTGTAAAAACAAAAATACTCATCGGAATACAAAAGGAACAACAAAGGCCCAAATTGATATTTTGAAATCTTAATCTTTTTTTATGCTATGAAAAAGACGATTTTTATTTTAAACTATTTTTGAATGCAAGATTTAATTTTAACATGAAAAAACAATTTTTTTTTCTTTTTAAAAAAAATTTCAAAATTAAAACCGTACTAACGTGGGTTTAAAAAAAAATGGTTTTTTTATTCACAAAATGCTTGAAAGGTTAAAAATGGGTTTTTTGGATGTGTTTTTTTATACATTAAACTTATTCTTATCTTTTTACAAAATAAATTTGGTTCAATGTAATTATGGCCCCTTTCCGTTCAATTTTTTTGTTTTTGAACCCCATTTAAATACGAGTTTAAAAACCCTTATAAAAATTTTTGAAAAGCTTGCCCCATCAAGCTTTGCATACATTCTATTTTTGCAACTTTTTTTAATGAAAACAAAATTTTTTAATACATTAGGGTGGATCTGATTTTCCTTTTGACCAACCAATTAAAGAAAAGGGTTTTTGGGTACATTCCCCTGTTTTTTCCTCCAAATACTGGGTTGAAACAACGGTGGACAACTTTTTAGTTTTGTATTTTGGGTAAATTAGTAAAAGATCAAACTTCAGAGATAAAAATGGAAACCATGGTAATTTCCCCCATGCCCTTTTTTTATATAATGGGTTTCCCCTTTTGAAAAATGTATGAAAAATTGAAAAAAAAAACCAAATTATCGATATTTAGAAGACAAAGACGTTGTCCCTTTTTGCTCGCCTTTTTGGCCAAAATCAAATTTACCCCTTTCAATTTAACCTTTTTGTTTGTTTAATATCAAAACTAATGAAAGCTTTAATGGGCAAGTAAACTTGGGGTTAAAATTGGTTCCCAAATTTTTTTTGTAAATGGCCCATTTTTTTACCATTTTTTAAGGCCGGAAAAAAAATACGGAAAAAAATACCTTTTTTAAAAAAGCGCTTTAAATATTCCCTTTTTCCCAAAAATTTTTTTTTCCATTATAAGTGGAATTTCACTTATTATCTAAAAATTTTTTCCTCTATTCCCTTTAAGGAATTTTTTAAACCCTGAGTTGGGAAAGTTTAAGAACGAAAAAATATGTAAGTATAATTGAAAACCCTTGTTTCCAAAACATTTCTTTTTTTCCAAGGTTTAGAACATTTTCAGCCTGGAAAACTGGGGGTGGATAAATTCAGAAACCCGTTTCCAAAATTTTTCCCCTCGAATTTTATCAGTGAAAAACAGAAATGTTTTTAAAATTTAATGAATTCCCAACTTGCGGAAAATCCGGCAAAAAACCAGATTCTAGAATGGTTTATTTTTTCAAAACTTTAAACCGCGCTGTTAAACTGCAAACGTAAGAAGGAATAATTTAAGTTTTCGGATAACTTTAAAGCCTTTTTAAATAAATAATTTGTTTTCCCACTTTTTAACCACCCTTTTTCCCATTCGCCTAAAAGGTTTTGAATTGCTTCCAAACATATTTTTTTTCCCTTTGAAAAAAACACGTTACGCAAAATAAAATTTCTTATATACATGTTCTACTTCGGTGAATAAAAAAAGTTTTTTTTTTAAAGGTTTGGGCTGTTAGTTTACTTTTTTACAAAATTAAGGGGTTTTTATTTAAAAACTTTAATTATATTTGATGAATAAACATTTTTTAAACCGTTAACAGGTATCGTTGACCTAAACATGACAGTTTACTAAAAAATGATCCCTTTTGAACAAGAATTGGAAAATCTGGAAATCATCGGTTTTTTTTTGAAAATACAGGTTTGAGGAATTTTTAAAAAGAAATCTTTTTTGGTAGCTTAAAAGCAGTTGTAGCGTTGCCATTTTATCAGTAAAGAAAACTCTTTTATCACTACATGGGTAAAAAAACTTGGGAAATTTTGGAAAAGTTCTAAGATTGCCGAAAGGGAGGAGTGGTTTGGGGAAAAAGAAACAAATGGTGGTAAAAAATTTAAAAATTAATTTATTTAAGGAAAACCCCTGGGGTTTTTGGGGGGCCAATAAAAAACTTAAAAAATTACAAAAAAAGGACATTAATGTCTTCAAGGGTCACCGTTAAAAATGCAAAAAAAAAAAATTTTTTTTTTAAAAATAAAATTTTTCCGTGTGGTTTATGAGTTATGGATATATTTTTTCTGAACTAAACCTTTTTGCCAATTTTTAAAAGGGCCTTATTTTTAGAAATGAGGAAAAAACTGTAAATAAATCTGTAAAAATCATCCCAATTATAAAAAATGTTTTTCTATTTCTCATTGTTAAAGAAAAACAAATAAAACATTCAAGTAAACACAATTACACACACCCAAAATGTTTGGTTCTAAACAAAATGTTCTTAAAAAATTATAAAAATTGTAACCCCTACCCCACCCTTTTTAAGCAACTAAGTTTTACCCTTTCCCTATCTAAAATGCCCTTTTTTTCAAAATTATCCTAAAAAATTTTTCGAAATGAGGGTCCTGTTTTCAAAAAACTTTGCTAAAATTTTTTTCAAAGGTTATTCATTAGTTGATCCATGCCGAATTGATAAAATACTTTTTACCGTGTAAAAGTTTTTATTTTTATCGAACTTTGAAAATATCTGGTATCAAATTTTTGTTAAATTTTGGATTATTTAACCAAAAAAAAAATTTAAAAATAATTTATAGTTAATTTAAATCTAACCTTTTTTTTTTTCTTCCATAAGGGGATTCAGAGAGATACATAAAAAAATGTTAAAAAAGAAAAAAAAAAGAAAAAAAAAGTTGCCCCTTTCTGGGGTTTTTTGAACCCACGCCCCTCAATTTCAATGTAGTTTACAAGCGATTCTAAGCCCTATTTGAAAAAAAAATTACTCTTTCAAAGTGGAGGGTAAAATGCATTACCCATGGTCCTTAACTTAAAAAATAGTTAATTCGAATTTTAAAAAAACTGGAATGAGACCAAACATGGTGTTGAATAAGGTTGAAAAAACCCTACCTCCCAAAGGTTGAAATTTTAATGTGTATAAAGAATATATTGCTATAATTAAATTTATTTGTTAATATGTATACGAATATTTAATAATCTAAACTTGTTTGTTCCCCATTAAAGTTTTGTATATGGATACCTCCATGGGCTTTAAAGCCTAATGGTTCTGAATAAAATAAACTTTAAATTGTTTAGGATATTGTTTCATACTTCAGTCGATCAGAGTTTTATTAATAGCCTCAAACCTTGTACACAAATGCAAATTTAACTTAAATTACTTGATCAGTATGTTGTTATATAACAATTAGTTTGTTGGTTTTGCAATTATTACGTGCTCTTAAATACGATTCCTGTTTAAAAGTTAGTATGTTAGGTTGGTTGGTTTCTTGGTATGAGGCCTTGTACAGAAATCAAATTTAAAAGTATCTGTTATTTTACAAATACCGAATTGAATGTTAATTTTTCAAATGAAGAAAGCACATAAGTATTTCATTTAAGACGAAACTTGATATCTAAAATTATTTATGATACATAACACATATAATTGCAGGAATATGCAACATGATAAATTTTATGACCCGCGTTCTATAAAGTTTCATTTTTACTAGTTTGGACCATTAAAAACTTTATATGTAAAAGAATCTATCCAATGGTAATGTGTTTGATATGGGTAAGGTTACTTACTTTATACTTTGGGTATATGATACTTGCTGCCTAGTTAGAGCACTGCCTAAAAATTAAATGAAGAAGAAAATTCAAATTTGAAATGCGCTTTTCTAAGGTTGAGATTCTATTCATATTGTTATACGCCAAAAACGTCAAAAATAAGTTTCTACTGTTAATAATAAAACGTAATATTCAGACTTGAATTTGTCTCTGCATGCTCGAAATTTGGCTTATTCACAGGGGAAAATGATTGTGTATTGGCTATAAAACAAAAAGTTAATAACTTCAAAACACTCTTCTTTTATATTCCTAATTGGGATCTGATCTGAGAAGTGTTCAAATATGAATGCATCTTGAAATGTCAATATTTCAAAAGATAAGAGAAAATGATGGTTATCAGATTGATAAATATGTTAGCTTTAAATTGATAACACATTCATAAAACACGCTCACTTAAGCTATGTTTATAGCTTGCTATACATTGTCTACTCGTATATTTTAATGCAAAAATAGTTTGTTTTTATAGGCACACGCATTTTCTTTTAAATTGTGGACCATTTGCTGCCTTTAATCGAAAAACAATGTGTCACATTGAAGATCCCATGATAACCGATGTTTCTTAATTCGAAATTACACCATTTTGTTATATAAATGGAAAACTTTACTTTAGCGGATGTAGGCGGTAACTTGCACTTTCCAGTACCGCCCATGAACAGACTCGATCAAACCGAGCCTGCAACATTTATAATTTCGTCGTTTTCTTAAAGTTCTTTAAGGATTCAGTTTTTCTGTATTCTGTAGAAAATCAGAGTAGGCCATTAAAATACCGAGTTATATTAAGATGCGTTGTATACTTGGCATATAGTGTAAAGACATTTTTTAATAATATTACCGAATAGGGACAAATCAAATGCATTTTCATCAGTTATTGCTTGTTAATTCAAATGTGAGTGTATTTTGAGTGAAGATGCACCCAATATACCCGAACAGCATCGTCAGTTAAGATGGATGCTTAAATGAAAAAAAGTTAATACCAATGCAATATATGCCACTAGACAAATAGCAAGTATCTCATTCGGAAGAGCTCAAACCATACCTTTCAAAACGTGATTTGAATATGGGAAAGATCTGTGCTGTGTGGATTCCCTATTTGCTGACATATGAGCAGAAAAGACTTCCAAGTAATGCGCAAAGATATAAATTAATGAAATCAAAATTACTATACACGGTCTTTAATGGTGACGATACATGAGTTTATTCTTATGAGCCAAAACAAAATCACCAAAACATAATTAAGGAAAAGCGCATGCATTGCAAAAATGACCGGCAGTATGCAGAAGGTATTGAATGCCATTTTCATTACAACTCAGTGTCCAGCCATTCAGGTTGCTGTTCCTTAAAGCAAATTAGTAAATGGGAAATTTTACAAGTCAAAGTTCTTCAGAAACTAAACAAATACTCGTATCATATTTGACCATTACCTTAAAGTAACGCGTCATCGCACATAGCATCTACAGTGCAATACTTTCTGTATCAGAAAATAAAAGTGTGTTCGCCCATTCTATGCATTCACCTGACCTTCCCTCCTTGTACAATTGTATGTTTTCAAAGCTAAAATTTGTTCAGTGCAAATACAACTGTTCTGACTGTTTGTAGTGTCTTCAATGTATATCTTAAAAGCCTTCAAATTTTGGGTCCGGAGCCTAAAACTTTGAATATCTGTCAGAATCCCTTGAGGGAACAAAATTAAAAACAATTTAGTGCAACCAATAAAGAATCGCAATTTTTGTTCCTAGATTCATCCTTATTCGAACACTTCTTGTTCCCTCTCATTTTCTATGCTATCGTGTTCCAATGCCCAGTTTTCAGTATCTGTTGCATTTGTTAATCATAAAAATTGATGATTCGTTTTTAAAAATGGCGCTATATGCTTTAAATATTTCATTGTGTTTTAATGCTTGTTGATTTGCTTTAAGTGGTCCAACATCTGAGATGATGTTGTTTCTAAAACTTTATGGCAAGTAATCTTTGTTTTAGCTAATACAAAACGCTTTTTATTAAACAGTTTATATGGTTCCGTTTCCGAGCTCTGTGTCATATCATTCGTATCTTGGAAATGTACAGTATTTAGATGGAAATTCCATAGTGACGTCACCGAATTACCCCCTAACGACAAATATTGACTATGAAATAAAATGGATTGTGAGTGTTGAAACCCAACGGTTTGCCAAAATTGTTTTCACTAATGTATCACTATCAAAGGTATGCGTTCATTTATCTTATTGTGATATTTTAAACCTTTAATGGATAACAGTTATTCGTAAGTAGATAACGTGGGTAAACTCATTGTTTTTTTGCTTTTTGTTGTTTTTTGTCTTTCTTTTTTCATTTGCAATATTACCGTTTTTTATTTTCAACTTTACATTTACTATAAAGAGAACTGAAACTCAATTTTATCAGTTTGAAATCAATTCTTTATATTAAGTTATATTCGAATTTCAAATTGAATGTTTTTGAAAATTATGTAATTGTTTGTATGTAATTGACTTCACAATCGTACATTGCTTTTAAGAAATTCTAGCCCGGTGTACTTTCGCTACAATTTTGATTGTTTCAAAAGGCTGCTGAAAATACAACCTTGCTCGATCTGTTCGTCTATCGTATAATGTTTTTCTTAGTAAAAAATATATTTTGACCTGCTCGTCCTCACTTTAATTTTAACAATGTAATTCTAACATCATATAAGTATATTTTTACCACTGGTTCGGTACTGGCTATTATATTATAGGATTGCGACGTGATAGTATCGGAAAACATCCAAAGAAATTCTGGATTTTTCATTGACCATAGTTTCAATAATGAAATATTCGTATTAGAAACAGACCAAAGCGTCGTGTCGTTTAACGCAAGGTGTAATCAAACATGGTTAACGATGAAATTTCGAGCAATTGTTACTACTGAAGGTAGATATTATGATATTTTTTAAACTAGCGAAAAGTTGAAATATTAAAGTTAAGGATTTCATCAAACAAAAATGTTCGCCTGACACATACTTGATAAAACCTGCAGATCTGTTAATTTGACCAAATATATGCAATATATCAAGTACTTTACCTCTGGTATTTATTAAAATTAAGTTGCAAAGTGTAATGTAAAACAAAAGATACAAACATATTTAATTAATTAATGTGTTTTAAGACACTGAAATCTGTATTTTTTATTATATGTCATAATTGCATTTGAAGTTAACGAAATAAAGTCGGATTTGTGACCTTTGTAAAATTATGTTCATTTAGTTGCTAAGAAAGGGCTTATGATGGTTTGTACAGTCATTCTGATTTCGCATTTGATATGAAATGGCATTTATTTAAATAGTAATTTTACAATAAGGTCAAAGGCATATTAAAACAAAAGTCAAGTTGACTAAATTCTAGGTATTTGCATCCCGATACAAGAATTCATACAATACATCCAATTATAACAAAGTTAGCCAATTATAGCCAACTTATGAGGTCTCATTTTATATTTTGAACTTTTCTTTTAACATTTGCCAATATCTCCTTCGTTTTAGGAAAACTGTTTTCTTTTCTTTTTTATTGCCTTAAGTATTCCGGTTTTGAACAGTGTTCCTATGCCAAAAGTTTTAACTACAAAACTGCTCCTGTTATTATTGCAGTCTTGATTAGTTCAGTAGTACGAATACTATTGGAAAATATAATAAAAATCATTCTGTTAACGCAATAAAAACAATAAGGTTTTAAAATAAATGCATAATATGAATAATTACCTTAATTTGAATGGATGCAAAACATTATTTTTTTAAATAAGAGCACCGATCAAGTAGAATTTGTGGAATCTGGAACTATAGACTGTCGGAAAGATTTCTTTCTGTTTATACCATTAAAGTTTGGGACAATTAAAAGTTCGGTCATTCAGAAAGCTGTTATTTTGTATGTCTTAAGGTTGTACGAGTTTTGCGAGTATTACTAAGCATGGATTTACTAAGCAGTAGAATTGGCCACCAAATTCCACTTGCTTAACTTCTTGACTATCATGTAATTTAACATGTTGAAGGATATAAAAAAAAACTATGAAACTTTTCACTGACTTAAATTTAGAGTAATTCTTTGAAATAAAACGTGTGATGTAATATCAATTTAATTGTTAAACCCCTATGGGTTTTTCTTTCAAAGTAAATTGATAGTATGTAAAACTAACACGAATTTCATTTTAATTGTTAAGCTTTTAATACTTTCATTCATTTAAGCTGTCATTGACATTGAATTTTCTGTATAAAATCTTCAATGCTTTTATATTTCATGACTATTTTGAAATTTGATTTAAGAAACATTTGTTATGCATAGTCCACAATGAATACTCACAAATAAGCGTGTATGTACCAAAATTTCAACGGTGGTTCAAAGACTCGTTTCAACGGGCGGGGTTGTGGGGTTTTATGACTGAAATGTTCAATTATTTTTTGTACGAGTATATACATGTATACTCAGTTGCAAAAGAAATTGTGTCCTTGGTTACTTGGAAATTCTTTTTACATACAAATGCAAGAACGTAGCAAAATTGGTATCAAAAATTGCAGAAGAAATGTATTGATCATACAATTGTTTAATTTGTAATGAAAATTTTAAAAGTCAGAATTAGAGTTACCTGTAAATAGCGATGAGTGATAAATATTAAAAAGTTGCAAAATTGTGATCTTTAATCATTTATTTTGCTCGTTACGTAGCCATTAATCTGCATTTGTTGTGTTCATCTTTTTGGATGAATGAATATGCTCGAGACTGCTGATGCAATGCCGTATGGACGTGGAATGATGTTCTTTAAAACACTTAAAATCAAAGTAGTTATGATAACTTTGTATAGCTAATATGTATTCAAAATATTTCCTTATGTACTATTTACCAGTACTTAATTGTTACTCGGTGGGTTGTTTCTGAATTTGATTTTTAGTATTCTTTAATTTTTCGCTAGCATATAAATTTGCAATTTTAAATCTTCATAATGTCGGATCCTTTCTTATTGCAGGATATGACGAAATTATTAACCTTTAAATTCAGATTATCAAATATGGGTGTAAATAATTTTTGAGTTTCTTATGTTGATAATTACTATTATGAGATTGTGCAATTGTGAATGGCGTAGGGGGGACCTGTAATACAAATATTAGTTTCTAATTTACACTTTGAAAGGCACACTGTCAACACTTGGAGAGGCACAATAACACTTTAAGGGACTGCTGAGGTAGAAGTTTATTCGTTTAGTTATCTCCATATTGATGTTTTCATTTATAGGTATTGATCAATTTCGTCTAGTGTAATGAAATGTGTCAAGACTATTATGTTATAAATCATTAATCTGTTTTTTACCTTCCAGAAACTCCAGCTTGCCTTAGCCTTGGTATCGTTCGTAAAAGAAACAGATTAGAACGGTGCTCTAAATCAAACATGATTCTTTCTACCCGTTCATATTTGAATATTGACCACACTTACGGTAATGAGGAGTTCCAAATATGCGCGTACGGTCACCAAAGCATTGATATCTCCTTCATTGATTTCTACATGCCGTGTTATAGTAGTGACAGGATTTTCGGTAAGAAGATTCAAAATTACGTTTACCTTTATATATGTCGTTATAATTGAAATAAATAATAAGAGTTTATATCTTATTTTGTTAGCGGGAAAATTTGTCTTTGTGTTTAAACGAATACCGATTATACAACATTATGTTTTTAAGAGAAATGATATTTTAGCATTTATGCATTATATAATTTTATTATGTTTGTTTAATGTTATTGATTTTAAGTCAAACGGACACAATAAAGGTCATACGGCGACTTTCAAACTTTACTGTGGAAAGTAGATCTCACTTGCCCTACGTGCAATATTAATGCATTATGTAAGTCACGGGCGGGAAATTAAGTAGACCCACCAACCTCTGTAAGCTAGCTGAAAAGCCCCCCCCCCACTTCACGCGCGATTTGCTTAGTCACAAGTGAAAAACAAACATTTTCACGCGCGCGACGCATTATTAAGAATATTCCCTTTTTGGTCTTTTTAGAGATTATAAAAACATTTTCTGGGTTTAAACACGGACGTTCAAATATAATGTAAAAGATTCTGGCTAACTTTAACGGATATTCTTACTTTGTTCAAAGCTTGCATTAACTGAAAATTTAACACATTTTCTTTACAGGCATACATTAATTCTTCTCTAATTTACATTAAACCGAAACTTTTACAATTGTCTGAATTTACACATAATAGATATTCTTCATAAACAGACAAAATAGTCATGCATTATGTCAATTACGGACGGGTATTTAGGACAAACTACCGAGTCTGCGATATAAGCATGTTAATAAGAGAGTAATTATTGACATTTCAATGTTTACTTTCCAGATTCAAAGCCTAGTAAGTATGTCTTCTGATAATGTATAAATATTTCTTAAATGTATGGAGAGCATGTGCATGATTGGCATAGCTTGCTATATTGAATGTTTCTCGTTTTGTCTCAGTTGTAATACTTGTATCTTTTTGATATGTGTAATGAAATTTATCAGTTAACTGTGTTTCCTGATCTTGATTTAAAATTGATTACAACAGCAAACGACCTCTCTTGTATAATATTTAATGAATAATGTTCTGAACTGTTACAATAAGGAGAATATGCGCATAAAAGGTCTAAGACTGTCTTGTAAATAGTTTTGTTCTTTGTATAAATACAAGGGTGTGCCAACATGTTTTGCAATATGGTCCATAAAAAATATCAAAGGGAAAATATTTTACATTTTTCTATTTAACCTCTTCTCTTTTGACAAATATAAAAAGTTCCAGACGTTCCATTCAATTCTAAATGCTTCAACAGTGTCCTTATGAATACATTTCAATAACTTGGCAAACCTCCACATCAACTCCTAGGACTGCAGGCCAAAGTGTTCTCAATTCATTGGTCGAAAGAAAACCCTTTGACGTGAAGATAACTGCTGTGCGCTTATCTGTCTGACCAAAAAATTGTAGAGATCACCAACTCATCATTATCAACTATTCTTTCTTCTTTAGTTACTGGTCAGACTGGTTGAAAGGCCAAATGCTAAAGAAATCTTGACCACTTGATATCAAAATCAATTGGGGTCATCTACTAGTCATGATCAACCTCTATCAAATGTCCCTATGTCATAAATGATATACTTCCATTAATTTATGCGATCTTATCGATACCATTTCTATATTATTTGAAATTGTTAGAAAAAAAGCTATCACTTAAATGCAAGATAATTATATAGACCCTGCGTTGTAAGTTAAGTGACAAGAAGTATGATCCCTGGTCAATTCCTTTAAAAGAATATTAACCCCCCCCCCCCGTTCATAATAGTATGACCCCGGTCAACATGATTTGTATACTTGTATACCCGACATGAAAAAAATGACACTTGCAAAGAGAGCCCCTGTTATATGTTGCCATAATCTAAAGGTAACCCCTTTCATAATTTACAGAAATTAATGAAGACATGCTTATAAGTTATGGAAAAAACATAAACAAAAAAATAATTTAAGGCATGACTAAATTTCAAGTTTGGTAGATCTTTATCCAAAATGCTATAGCTGTAAGTTGAATGATTTTTACAGACGAACTTTTTCTGATTTTATTTTCACTTGGTTTGTTAAATATACTTTAAACTAACAAACAAACAAGTTAACTTCTTGTCGTTGATTTGTATTACTTGTAATGCAAGAAATAACAAAATAATGTTACTACTTTTTGTGTACTTAATATATCATAGGGCGTAACGGTATACATGATTGTGGGGGGGGGGGACAAGTCAATATTTAAAAGGACCAGTGGTAAAAATATCAGTCTCTCAATCCAGTCTCTCAATCCAGGGATCATTGATTCGAGCTTTACAGTGGTCTTGACTATGTTTCTTCAAATTCTTCAAAGTTCAGTTGAGTTCCTGGAAACCGACTTTAGAGTTGTTCGAAAAAGCTTCAAGCTTTTATAAAGTAAAAATGTGTGAGACGTTTTTTATGAAGAATAGGGCATGCTTCCAATTGAATTCGGACCGGGGTCACTAATATACAGGTTAAAGATAAAATGAAGGCACATTTTGTCTCAACTTGAGTTTCTGAGGCAAGTTGATTATTATTTGACAAAAGTTAGTACGTTTACTTATATAAGGTGTAACTTTCATCAATAAAATTGACAGTATCAGTAGTATAGTTTGTACTACTGACTACTTTTTGAATAAACGGACGAATGAACAAAACTATTACGTAACGCACAACTAATTTTGCAATAGTTCGATAGTGTTGTAATTAATTTCTATTACTTGTGATAAGGACAACATTTTGCGCACTACTTGAACTTGCAAACATGAAAATAGCTCACATTTTTTTATTCATATACTTTACTAATTGATCATAACTAATTCTGAGGGTAACATGTAGCATATAGAAGGCTGTCCAATTAAGTCGTAGACAAATACTGTAAAACATAAATTAAACACTCCAGCCAAACATGCACAAGTTAACCTGCACCAATTGTGAAGTAAAATAATCGTTATTAACAAAAAAAAAAAAAAAAAAAAAACAGACGCTACATATTAAAGCATAAATATAGCCATGAGATGGGCATACATTAAGGATGAAGTTTTCCTTAAAAATAGAAACTTCCAAAGATACCACTGAGTGTTGTATTCAATGCACAAAAACGCTCATATCAAATAATAATAAATATCAAAAGTGAACACTTTCTATTCATGTGGTTAGAAAACAATGAGGGGTATATTACCCGATCACCTCAGTACTGAATATCATTGGGGGGAAAACGAAAATGACGGATTATGTCAGTAATAAAACCTGACAGTTTTTTGTTCTTCATCTCAGCATTTTTCCCTCCTAGAGTTCCATACCTCCTACTGTTGAGGATTGTATACCGCTGAAACCGGTGTAAAGAGGCGCGAAAGAGTTTGCACCTTTTTTATTTCTCATAAACAGTCTCATTAAACAATAGTAACGACAAAACAAGAAAGTAAAAGTAATTCAGCCTGTGTAAAAATTGAAGTCCGCACATTAACATGAACATAAAGTGAAAGGTCACAAGTCACAACAAAGATAACGAATGTGATATCAAACATTTGATTCAAGTTGTTAATTTATAATCTGTTCGAGATTTATTCGATGATGGTTCATATACATGTTTTAGGGGATCTTTTTTCTCCGAAATGAGTCAATACTTTATAGACAAGGGGTCGATTCATTAGAATATTGACATGGGGTCAATTTCTGTCGGCGTTACTTTTCTTCGTTTCACTGGCTTCCAGTCTAACATTACTTCGTTATGTTAATCCTAAGATTTTAAGATTTTTTGTTGTACTTTAATTGTTGCCGGTGCAAATAATATCAATTTTAATTGAAATTCTTACACTGCATCTTGTTTTCTTTATAACGCTTTCTAACGATTACATTCTGTTTTACATGTTTTATAAATGATTTATTTTCTTTTTACATTAAAATAGAATTTAAATCACGATTTGCTATCAAAGATGCTGACGGCGAACACGAGTTTTGCTCTGGAATATTACCACCGAAGACATACAAATCAAAAGGTTCAGAGATTAAATTGTTTTATCGACGTCTTGATTTTTCGGGATACTTGAACTCGTTTGGCAAAATAACAGAGCGAATTGAAGGATTTCGGATACAGTATAAAATAATTAATCATTCATTTCAAAAGTATACAACTGAGATTTCAGGATCTGAATCAGAATCATCAGGTATTATTTATATGCGAAATCAAAACAAAGATTGTATCATCTGTGAACGAAATCATGTTTTTTGTTATTTTTTGTTATTTTAATGTCAGCTAGATACTTCAATATAGAGTATAATCATATAAAGGAATTCCTTTTATCCCCTTAAAGCATAGAAATCATGGAATATTAAAAGAAAAGGTTAAGTAAAAAGTCTTCCCTTTGTTTCAATCCTGAATATTTGGAATTACTTACTATTGTTAACGACTAAGTGTTTTGAAGAAGTGCATAAGAAATGGTATTTTGTCTATGATATATAAGCCCCTAAAGGATCAATAAATTTTTTTAAATGGAACATGTTTTTATATTTCAGCTTGCTCAGGGCTTTTCAGAAAATGCTATACAGTTATCTCTGAAGAGGTCTCATGGGATATTGCAAACAGCAAATGCCGTACGCGCAGTGAACATCTTGTTACTATTACATCAAGAAAGGAAATGAAATACCTACAATACTTACTACGAAATGCGTTATATAACATTAATCAGCGACGTGGGAAAGATAACAAACTTCAGGGAGCACATATTGGTAAATAGTTTGATTTATTTTCTTTCTTTTTTTTACTTTATCTTTTTATTGCTTACATATGTCAACATCAATAGAATGTGTTCCGAGTAAATAATATTAATTCTAGGAAAATATTTTCTAATTATATTTTTCTATAATTTTATATACGTAAAGTAACTTATCCACATAAGATTTTTAATATTTTGTTTATTTACTGAATGTATTCCTGTGTTATTATGATCCCGTATTGATATTTTGATTTAAAAGGCTTAAGACGATTTACGAACAAAAACAAGAAGACAAGTTTTAATTGGGTGAACGGCAACAGTGTAACTTTCACTGCATGGTAATGAATTTATGTTATTTATGTGATACTACATAACAACAATTTTGAAAACAATTGAATTGTAATCATATCTTGCATTGTGCGGGTAATCTATATAGTGCCTATAATTTACAACTAAAATTTACCCATTAACTAAGAGGGTAAAATCATTTATGTTTGAATATCTATAACGTATATCTACTATTTTTATCTTTCTAGTCATTTTGTGTTAATTTTGAAAAAGTTTGTCTCCAGAGAATTTTCTGTTACATTAAAATATGCTCCAAGCACAAAAATATATATGCTGTTTGTGTGTTTGTGCGTCATTTGTTGCCATTTTTTTGAAAGGCAATTATGCTTGAAAAAATGGGTCAAAGACAGAAAAGGCCGGGTTGCATTTGTATACCAAATATCATGATGCTGTGATGTTACGGAAATCAATTTACCACTGACCATTTAAATGTCGAAAATTTAACTAAGTAGGTAAACAGGAAGTGGATGAGCAACAGACCTGAAATAAAATCCAAAGGTATGGAACTACATGTCAATGCTGTATGCCAAATATCAAGAGGCTGTGATAAGTGGTTGCTGAGAAAACTGTTACGAAAATTTCCTACCATTGACCATTAATGTCGAAAATTTAACTAAGTTGATCAACAGGAAAAGGATGAGCAACAGACCTGAAATCAAATCCCACATAATGGTACCATGTGTTAATGTTGCATGCAAAATATCAAAAGGCTGTGATTAGTAGTGCTGAGAAAACTGTTACGAAAATGTCCTACCATTGACTATTAATGTCGAAAATTTAACTAAGTCGATTAACAGGAAGTGGATGAGTGACAGACCTGAAATCGAATCCCACAGTATGGGACCAAGTGTCAATGCTGTATGCCACATATCAAGAGGCTGTGATAAGTAGTTGCTGAGGAAACTGTTACGAAAATTTCCTACCATTGACTATTAATGTCGAAAATTTAACTATGTCGATTAACAGAAAGTGAATAAGCTACAGACCTGAAATTGAATCCCATGGTATAGGACCCTGCGTCAATGCTGTATGCAAGGTATCAAGAGTCTGTGATAAGTAGTTGCTGAGAAACCTGTTACGGAAATTTCCTTACATTGACCATTAATGTCGAAAATTTAACTAAGTCGATAAACAGGAAGTGGATGATAGACAGACCTGAAATCGAATCCCACAGTATGGGGCTACCTGTCAATGATGTATGCCAAATATCAAGAGGCTGTCATAAGTAGTTGCTAAGAAAATTGTTACAAAAGTTTTTCCCCGCCCGTTCACCCGCCACCCGCCAACTGCCCGCCCGCCGCCCATCATTCACCATACTATAACCCGGGTTTGCACATGAACAACCCGGCCAAAAATGTTTACTTAAGTCAGTTCAGGGAAATTATTACGAGGGACGGGTGGGTGAGGGACTTCATTCATGAGTTCTCCATTTACGACAGAAGGGTGGGTATTTTAATTAAATTATTTTCCTATTAAAATTCCGTGAAATCCCAAATAACGATTTCAAACCTGTACACTTTAACTTATTGAATATAAAGACCACACGAATAAACGATTCAACTTCATGAACTTCATCTAATTAATACAACTTAATGGACGTGTTCTAACTTCTCGTCTACAACTTCACGAATTCGCCATTTAACCTTCGTGACTCGACGAATTAACTTCGTGAATGAATTCACGGTTTTAAACATTCAGTCTTTCACTTAATGAATTCACGATTTCATTTACATAAAATTACATTTGTAATATTTGTTTCAAACTTGGCGATTTTAGCCTCGTGAATTCACGATTTGAACTACTGGAATTTAAGATTTCAGTATCAAGCAATCGTATCCATGTGAACAAAATTTGAAGGGGATATTATGGAGACGGCTTGTTCGCCGGTCATTCTGTCCGCACTTGTAGTATTGGAAATGAGTCTTACCTTTCTTATAACATAAGATTGATTCAATTAAAACTTATGTGAACTGTTTGTGCTAGTATGTAGATAAGCATTCTGAGAAACAAATCATAATTTCTCCATTTCTTTTCATGCAAGAGTTATTTTTGTTTAAATATTTGTTTCTGGTACGAACCAATTTGTATCAGAAAAAAATTGACGTAATTTAAGTCTTATAAGACATTTTTACGTAGTGATTTATTGCAAACGTGTAATTAGATAATGTTGCATCGGCATTTTGAAAAGTATTGCATTATACAATTGCAACGTACTATACAAATGGGACGAATGTGGTTGGGCGAAAATGTCGTATAAATCAGATGGTACGAAACCTATGTGTGCCAATCGTCATCAAAGAGTTAACAGTATTAAATAGGATAAGGATATTTATTGGTATTAAAATGTCCTTTGAATGATAATGTTGGGACGAAAAGGAAACGTGTTTTGGACGAATTTGCGTGTGGTACGTCATATAAACTGTTGGGGGAAATGGCAGCGTTTAACCACATGAAACAACTCAATTAAGTAAGAATTCATTCACAAAGCATCAGGGCTAATAAAAGATTATACGAGAAAAAGTAAACAGAGTTTCCATTGAACTGTATATTATGCTCAAAGCAAAAGACCTTGCTCGAATGAATCGAGTGATAGTGTCTTTCTTTGCTAAATATTTCTGCCAACACTTTCAAAATAACAAATAACAACAGAGTTTCATATACTTCAGTCAAAAGAGCTGCATATGGGCTTTTAGCATCGATTCTGTGGATGTAATGCAATTCACTTTGGGTTCATTGAGATAGTTAACGGTCATTTTAGCGGCAGGACGATAGGCCGAGTCTTGATGGAATAACATATCATTCTCTCTTCCAGGAAAAAGTGGCGGGACATCTTTTTTGAGAAACGGTTTTAGTTCTTGGTTTATGTCATATTTTGCATTGACTTTAACCCCATTATTGATAAAAATTGTCTTGCCCTTAACCAAAAATACAAGTGCAATGCATCTTGGTTTACAAACTTGCGTTAGTTCAGGACTGTCTTATTAGTTCGAACGTTTCAAACACGACATCGACCTTAACTACCGCCAATATAAACCACAGTTAAGACGGAGATAAAGATGGTCAAGCTAGTCATTTCAAAATGAAGGGCTCACTAAGCCTTTGAACACGGCACTTTTATAAAGGTTAAAGGTTAAGAACGATTGTCCAAGTGAACATTACATTTTTATAATATATAAATCCATCACATCTTGATCACGAAGAAGAATTGTTAAAACATTATGTTCGTTAGGTTTTTTAACTATATCCGAATCGATCCCAATATCTAAACTTATCAAAGGTCAACGTTCGCTCGGTGGAGCAGGATCCTGGGAGGTTGACGGTAAACTGGCTCTCTCGTTGGCAATACCACCGAAAATGCACGTACCGTGTCTTAGGCAAATCGGTCACCTCGCCTCCCGTGTACCAACTTCTTCCGTATCGCTTTATATTTATTACCAGAACTCTGTCATTTTAATGCAAGTAGAATAGAATTCATATTCGACTCCATGCCCGAAATGCATTTGTCAAGCTGTTTAAGGTTCAAATTTCAAGCACGTAGTTAAAAACTAAAAAAAAATTGTTATCGTTAGATAAATCCAATTCACCTGTTTGACAAGGTGTCCGTATCCGACACTGGCAGAATATCATGTACTGACTTTTGAGCCATGGAGAAAACTTCAAAAACAAAAGAATAAATTTACAAAATAATCAACAAAAACAAATGTCACTTGACCGGTAAGTCGCAAAAGTAAAACTGAATATTGGGTAGAGGTAGCACCAGTTGGTCATGTAGTGATCATTTGGTTATTTATTGAGAAGCTTTGTTTTATTTTTAATAAGTGTCTGCGAGGGGGTATCCGTAAAGAAAAGTTTTATAAGAAACAGAATGAAATGATATTGAAATTTTCTGAAATTATCAGGCAAAGAGTTTCATATAACAGGTGCGGCATACCTAAAAGTTTTTTTTTCAAGCAGTTAAAGTCCTAACTTGAGGGAACTGCAAAGTATTTTAATATTAACAAGACATGACAGAAGTTTTTATTGATATGATCCGATAAATGAACAGAGGGCATATCATGTTTCAATTGCAATAGTCTTTATTTTCTATTCTTCTTATTTGTACTGTTGGCAGATCCTCAGATAGATACCAAATCATTGAAAAGCCTTTCTTGCATTGTTTCAATCTTTCTTGACAATATAAAATATGAAAACTTTAAGCCCATTTGCATGATTTAAGTTGCGCCTATTCTTTAAAGATAATTAACTGATTTGATGCCTTGGAAATTAATTGTTGGTCAATATCTGTTCAAAGAAGTTTGACAGTTTCACCTCAGATTATTTCTCTTGTGTTTATTTTGAATATAGAGACTTTTGCCTTTTGCAAAATGTTGTTGTTTACCAATCGCAGTAGTTTGATACTTATCCCGGATGCTTGCATTTTATACAAGTGAAACCTCTTTATACTAGTCAACTCTTCAAAAGTCACGAATTTAAAATCGTGTAGTTAAAAACATTTATTCATGTAAGAATAAAGTACAAAATTTGAAATGATATTCCTTGGTTGTTATACGCTTGATATATGTATCTAAAATTTAATTTAAGCTTTTTTTAAATTTGCAGGGAAAGCGGACAACCTTCAATAGCAGATTGTACCCTTACGTTATTCGAGTATTTCAACACCGAATCACTATGGAGGACTGAAGATTGTTTGTATAATTTAGTCGATTTTTTCGTATGTGAGAAACCGTTTTTAGAGGACGGGAATAACACGAGAGGTATATTTCATAGCTTTTTTTCACAGTTGTTTTCGCGACAGGAACAAATGAATATTGATGATGATTTTCAGATTTACAATATTTTTGTTAATTCTAAGAAATTTGATATATTTGGTAGTTATAACTTTTTATCATTGATGTGATATTTGTAAAACATATTTGACTCTAGAGCAAGTCCATATATATGATAGCTGGGAGACCTTTGCATTATAGCATTAACTTGTAATGCGGGAAGCATATGAAATGACTCAAGTTACCCAAGTGTCTGTATTGAGTAAAAGTAGAGAGTTTAATACTGAAATGTAACTTTTCTATAAAAAAGAAATCTGTTTATTCTCACGGAGACCATGATAATATAAACTAGTCCATGTACACGGAGAGACATGTGATCTGAAAGCCGTACATGATCGATTTATTAATACTGTATTTTAGGTAATTAAACATTTTTTCATACATTAGTTTTTATGAAAGAGTAATAAAAATTATAACAGATAGAAGATGCATTCATTTTTAAAGAACTTTGTTGCTACTACTTTTGTATAAGTCCTTTTGCCTTTGTTACGTTTATCCCGAGAGGCCGAGGTCCTGTGTAAGTCCCTTTGTTAGGTAGTGAACGCTCGACAAAAAGATGCATAAATTAAAGTTATGAATGATATGAACGTTTTCTCAAGCTTTTTTCTCAAGATGTGCGAAAGAAAGAAGCATGCATGTGTTTCTAAAGTAACAACATGTAAATAACTGATTAAGGAACTCCGACCAAATTGAATTTTATATGTAAGGTGCTATAGCACAAAGTCTCAAAGTCAATTTATTATATTTTCACGACATGTTCATGTATCTTCGAAGATGTTTAATTTGAGTCTTGTAACATGTGGTATTTTAACCATAACAAAGTGAGACATACATTGTTAGGTTTACCTCGGGACTGCGTGCGGGTTGGTTTGTTTTATCAGAAGCTTGTTTTTATAACAATGTGAGGTATTGTTTTTGTTCACCTAACCCTTACCCTTAACTTACCCTAATGAGTATTTCTAAACACCTTTAACAGCTTCCACCGGTAATGTCTAACAGCACGCGTTTAAAACTCTCAATGACTCACTAAATAAGGTTAAAAGTTCTTCAGTGGCTCCCTCACATAACCAAAAACACTCTCAGTCTGAATACACTAGGCTCCCCTCTCTCACTGTTTTTTGTGAAGTTGGAATAACAATATACAAATATACACTGACTGTCCAATCACTCCCCCTAATATACCATTTATATAGAGCATAATTGTCATAAGTTTCTCTCATGAGTTATTTTATTGCATATCGCTATCGGTTCTCTCCTCTCCTCACGCTCTCTCTTCCTCCCTCAATTAGTTGTCAAAAGTCTCTCCGTAACAAGGAAGGCTCGCAAAAATAGTTAACTTATTTTTGCAAGACTTAGCTTCCGCTTACCTGTTATACGCATAATGCAGACAAAATATCCTGACGCAGTGACGATGACTCACAACAGCTCTGCATTCGAGCGTGCTAACTACAATAGATTCATGACACATCGACGCCTGGAAGTCCAGCTAACGGAATAGCCCGACACAACCATAAGTGGACAACACGGTATGGACAGCGTGAGTTTGGACAGGCGTCGACTCTACACACCTAGTGTATTGAACTCCATTCTTTTTTAAATCCAAAGTTGAAAACCCAAAACCATAAATATTTTTCTCTCTCTGAAACAAAATTTCCATTTTGTAGCCGTTACAATAGAAAACCAATCACCCGCAAATATGAGAAATCGCGGAATTAAACAAACAAACCGACACCTACGGTGCTTATACACTTAATACAATACAGATTCACTAGAAACTGCTGTATTATTGCATACAAAGTTCAGTTGTGCATGAAACAAAGCAAAATTTACTTTTTTGTACACATTATCAATAATGCGGTAGCATAGCGTTTTTTTTCTAAAATTACAATCTTATTATATAATTAGATTTGTTAGAGTTGAAAATGTAATCTTGTACTTATACACATTTTTACATCATTAAGTCAATATAAATTCCTGTTGCAGAGTCGCACTTAGAGACTGGCATCTTTGCAGCCATGTGTTACCTTCGGCAAGGGCAAAATAAAAAGCCCCTGACCTACAGAAATAGTTATACTGTTTTTATCCAGATAAAACACATTTCGAAATGCAATCTTGAAACAGTTTATAAGATAATATTTTGATAACTTACCGATGCAAATATAAGAATGTAATCAGAACTCTTCTGCATGCATGCATTTAGGGTCTTTCACATATATATAAGAAAATTAAAGGACTTCATTTGAATCAAGATAAGAACAATTTAATTGCGCGTACCTTCAAACCACTTTACCACCCTCTTCTACCGCCCCATCCTGTAAAATTTCGTTGCGCGAGGGTTTACTTCTCAAACTTAGATATGCGGAGCCTCTAAAGTGACTTGTTTGGTTGTTTCCTTGTTGGTTGTTTTTGTTGGGTTTTGTCCACATGTTTGTATAAATTATTACGTTCTAAACGAAATGTGAAAGTGAAGTGTTCTTTCTTTGATATTCACATGACGACCATAGAGTGCCTTACGTCAATTATACTTCTATAGAAATATGATATATCATGAATATGATCAGTTGAAGAAGATAAGAGCTCTTTTTGATGTTATACAGATTTTCTTATTTACATTTCTCTTTCAATTAAATGTAAACATTTATTAGACAAAGATACCATCAGTTTGCCTAAAACGGAGGTGCTTGACGCTAAATGCATTGATGGATCATCAATACTTATGGTGAACTGGTGTGATAAGAATTTCGACTGCTTAGACTTTACCGAGATGGACGCATTGTCATATGTATGAACCAAAATATGTATGAGTTTTGTACAAATTGTCGCCTCGTATATAAATGTTAGGTGTTTACTGTCTGACAACTGTGTTTTAGGCCTGACCGTGATTGGCTTTGTAAGATCCATTAAAGCAATCTAAATCAGATTTTGTTGGTTAATCATTATTGATTCCAGGAGCCACTAATGATAATTATGTCTCTTTTTATACAATCTCAAATATTGTTAATCCTTAAACATTTGTTTTCGAGAGAGTTTGTTTCCATTACTTTGACGGCGCGCTCCCGACGTTCATGCATCCCGGTACCGAATACAATTAGGTCGGTCTTATTTGCGTGTTCTAAAAATCAGCGAAAGGTGATTTTTGGGAAAACCTTCAAACTGTTTCCACAAGCTTAAACAGTTTAAAAGAAAAAAAATATCTGACGTCAAGAACTATATATCTCAGATTCTATTTCTTCTTAACTCTGTATCTCACATGTTTATCATTTGACATAAGCGAGTATAAGGGGTTATTCTTGTAGTGTTTCTTTTTAAAGTTTTCTTTTCATACGATTCAGTTGTTCATAAATAATAGCGTATCCTTTGGATGTTGATCCTCAGTAACAGATCAATACGTTAAGTGTACAACTATTCAATCCACACTAATGGTGTATTAGTTCTTTAAGCCATCAAATTACACCTCAGTCAAGAAACGGTACACAGGATGGAAAAGCATCATCCTTACCTTCTGGCACCTATATTACGTTGATACTCTTATTTAGTTGTTAACTTTAAAAACTTTTCATGATATTTTTATTTAGATCACAGTCTCACAAATTATACCAATACAATGATAAATTCTGATGTACCACGCCGGCAAAATTCCGGGGCGTATTTCCGCTGTAAAAATAGCAAAGAGTGGATATCTATGTTATGCTAAATGTGAGTACACTCGATCGTTCATGATTGCCTTGCATGCTTCGGACGAAAGTGCGTCCAAGTTGTGCCCACCGGGCAATCTTGGTATGATTTTGTCACATTTCATTAGTCAGCTAGTGTAGTTTTCTACTCGATGTTATTCCAATGAAACAGTTCTCTGTGACAATTTATAGATGGTTTATTGGTCTCATTTTTAACCACCAATAGATAATAATTCACACATATAACCTTTAAGTTTATTATTTTTCATTACAATAAATCATTTACAAAATATCTACTCTATAGCTAGTTACTTAAAAGAATTCAGTATTAACGACAATGGTTTGAGTTCCCGACTCACATCAAATTATTTGCATTTTTTATGAATATATACCTATATTTCAAATATCTGTTGATGTGTCTGCAAAATATCACGTTGACTACCTTTGCTGCTATGTTAACATCATCTCAGAAAATTTCTGTTAAATAACTTAAGAAACGAACGAGATACGGAAACATGAAAATATCTCATAGAAAATAGGAAATTTGAAATGGTGACGTCCAAAGAATTTATGGAGCAGCAATTAGTAATAAGGTTTCTTGAGTATTTCTAGATGACACCTGTTAGATTTATCAACTAATATACCAAATAGAATAGTTAACCAACATATCCCGTGCATGCGTTTGAAAAAGACATGAACGGAACCAGTGTTTTGCACTACAGAAAATAATTAATAAAAACGAATAGGAAGACCGATATGTGTCCCCTATTTCATACAGCTAAAGCAGGAGCAACGGTACCAGAAGTTCGCTTAAAGCAATAAATTAATGTATTTCATCCTAACATTGAATAGAGATCAACAACCACATAATTTAAGTGGGTTTATTGGTGTTTTATGGGTAAAGCTGCATCGTTTATGCGTTGAAAGCCACGAAGTGTATTACATAAACATAACGCTGTATTTGACACGTGCCATTATTCATATTGTTGCTGTGGTATTAATGGCTTTTTTATTGTTTGTTGATTTTTTTGTAAATATGTAAATTTGTGAAACTGTTTCCATTATATGGGTTTATAAGATATTAAAAATATCAAATTTATACCTATTTTATTTAACTTTTAAACAATCTTGTCACAGAATATTGGGACAACCCACGTAACTTATAATTTATTTTATTAATTATTAATTGTTTTATTTAAAGTATTATTTTAATATACATAACAACATATGCTTTCTGTAAATTATAATTGATATATTAGTGTTTGGTTGCTGATTATGCTCTTTTATCAAAGAAATTATTTGATTTGATGGCCTTGACTCAATACTGTAATCATTGATTTCTTCATGATTTTTGTCTCCTTTCGGACGATACAATTTGATGTATTATTCCTTTTTTAAGAACAAAAAGGAATACTTTTATTCTTTTATAAAAAAAGATGTCATTTTTACATTTTTAGGATGTGATGAAAATGAGTTTTCTTGTGACAACGGAAATTGCATAAAACTGAGTCAAGTGTGCGACTTTAAATCGGACTGTGTGGACGGCACAGATGAATTTTTTGGTCGTTAAAGCTTTTAACATTTCGAAAAAGTTATAATTGGAAAAAACCCTTTTATTATCAAAGACTTTATATTAAATACATGATTTGTAAAGGGCTTCCTGTTCAACTAAGAAAGAAGATAATGGAGGAATGGTTAAAAAAAAAATTATGGACATTTTGGGGTACATAAAATTAAAATTCTTAATGCGTTTGTATCCCCGATGAGAAAATTTAAGGTATTTATTTCCAAGGGATATTAAAGAATTCATTCTTCAGATCTAAACTTGACGGATTTTCACACTTTTCTGTGAAGAGACTGGACAATTGTTTTACTTGAATAATAAAGTCACACGGTTGTTAGTCCAGAGAGTACATATGTAAAAAGTAATTCCATTTTACATAAGAAATACACAGAAGACCCGATATTTTGTTCCAAGATATAAAGCTTTGGAGGAGGGGTTTGGTCCCGAAGATTTGCCCTTTAGGGGTCTGCATATGCGTAAAAGAGAAGATAAAAGTGAAAAAGTGTCCAATGGACTTCGAAGGGTTATTACAACCAAATAACTACTGATATTAAAATGTCTGAAAGTCACAATAACTTTATGAAAGTCTGCAAGTGTTCCAAATCAGTCACAGACAAATAAAATGGACTTTTAAGGGTTCCAAGATGTCAAAAATGTCATTATATCAACTGGGAAAAATCCTAAAAGTCAGCGTGTGCCCCAGAATAATCAGTCGCAGACCAACGAAACGGACTTCTGAGGGCTACTTGAACCTAAATTAGAAATAACAAATTTATATTGTTCATTGTCCGTTTATTATAATTATCTCGAGACAGTTGGTCGCCAAAAATATGTAAACGATCTAAAGTTATATACATGTTAATAAAAATAAATCATACATTTTCACAAAAAAAGCTTTGAATAGAAAGAAGAATTTTACATGGCAATAATGACAATAATGACATTTTTTTTTATTTAGAAGCTTTAATGAAAAAAATAGACAAATTACAGTATTAGATGTTGGCATGGGTCTACATTCCCCAGTTTTAATCACTTTCCCCGCTATGCATGGAAATTGGAAGTACATTCATTCCTCTACTCAACTTTTCCACGGCCTTCTCTTTAAAACTCCCTCATGCCCCTCTTTCACTCCACACCCACGCCTCCTCTGTTATTCTTGATGCCTCTCTCGTTCATCGTAATGCCTTTGGAAATGTTCTTTTTTGCTTCTTAGAGGCATCCTTTCGGGGTTAATTTCACTGTTTTGCTATTGTTTCCGAACAATCCTCCAGACTAAGTTAGATTTTAAAATCTAAATTTGGCTTCCACACCCAGGCTCCTCTTGGAGTTCCATTTTCCCTATTTCTGCGATAATTTTAGAAGAATCACAGACTGGCAGGAAGTTTGATGGCAAATTTTAGAAAATTGTTGGCAATTTTCTACAATCAAAGGAGCGTCCCGGAAGTTCAATATCATTTGGTCCTTGTAGACAGAATTTCTTAAGGACCTAATTTTAGGAATTTGTTGATGCCCAATAGCTTTCTGGGTTATTATAGTTAACTCAGCAGTCCCGTTGGACAATTCCACTTTATCTTCCCCTTCACGCATGTTGTACACCCGTAAAGGAAATAGTAATTTTGGGACCAAAATCCCTTCCCATTTTTATAATCTTTTGAGCAAAATATTGGGATCAAGGACCTTCATGGTCCCCGCATTGCTAAGATTAGGTTAATAAGAAAGTTGGGAAACAAAAAGTTTTATGTAGGTACTTAAAGCATACCGAAAGTCAACGTTGGAAAGTTCATTGATTGGCCGTTATTAAGTGTAAAAGCCAACCCCCAGACCTTGTTTCGAAGGTTATTCAATAACGGGTTGACTTTATTTGTTCAAACTCCATCTTGTATTGGCAACTGGATGGTCGTTGGTTCAAACCACAGAAGGGTCAACTTTTTTTTCTTCAACAATTATATATCTTACAGACCCTTTTTTGAAAGAAAATGTGTTGACTCTAAATTATACAATAATTACTGGTATTTATTGGTTCAATGATTCTAAATTTGATATAAAAAATTCAAAGACTGACATTTTTCAAAGTCTAAGAAAATCAAAACTTCGCGGTAGAAGTATTCACTATATAACAAGATTATTCAAAATACTTTTGAAAAAAAAAATACAGAAAAATAGAAATTAGCTCCTAATTTTGGTTCGTAATTCCGCGAAAACACTCTAGATAACTTCATGTTTCAAATTTTAAAGGATCCTTGTGTCAACATCAAATAAAGCTCTAGAAGATGACAGCGTTTTCATTTTTTTTTTCAAAATTATAGTATATCAAGCATTGTATTACCCTATCTTCTTTATTTTTTTGTAGTCCTTTTCTTGTTAGTATTAACAATACAATGTATTTAACACATGGTTCAATTCTTTTATTTCTGCTGTTAAATTGACTGTTTTACAATCACTTAAAGATTACCCAGAGTGTGATGATGCTGAGTTTCGTTGTGAAAATGGACAATGTATTCCAATAGACAATCGATGTAACGCTGAATACGACTGTTTCGACAATAGCGATGAAAAAGATTGTGGTTTGTATTTGACTTTGAATTCCAGTGTAAAGCAACTTTAAATATAAAATATTTTATTTCAAAATATTGTATTCCAATGTGTAACGTCCATGTTGGTATCTAAAAAGCTATATAGGTAATCATTGCAATTAACCCATTACTTCATGAGCATTTTGTGAAAAATGGCTGTTTTCATTGAAAAGTCTCCCGTTACAAGTTCAAATTGCTATAATACTATAAAAACTGCTTCAACACTAATCAAACTTGGCACAAATGTTGACTGGACCATTGTCCTTGCAACAACATGCTCAGGCTTAAATTTTCTGTTACCATGGCAACGAGGGGACATCTCAAAATTGCCAAAAATCACTATTTTTGCGTTGATTTTTTCCATCAAAATTGATTTCAAAGTGCTGCAACTTCTCAATGGATTGAGATAGAGTCAAATGCTTTTCAGCGTTGGTTACACGTTACCTTATGATCAATCTGGGGTCATTTACAGCCTCTCACAAGTCCAAAATTTTCTTGGCGATGAGGGGGACTACGCCCCCCTTCAAACCCCCCCAAAACAGAAGGGGGCACCATCCCTTCTGGCAACCCCCTGATGTATCTTTTGGTTGGGGGGCCGCGCCGAAAAAGAGGTCACTTTTTTTAACAACATTTCTCGAACAAAAACAAGTGTTTGGGGCCTAAATAAGGCATTTTTTCATCATTTGAGACAACAAAAGGGGGGGGGGTGAAAAAGGCGTTAAAAGGCGTGTATATGAAGTAATGGGTTAATGAAAGTCGGATGACAGCAACAACTTTACCTAAATTCAATTTCCAAAATGTTGCCTTATGATGAAACGTTATCTTTCTTAAACAAAAATAAATCCAAGTGACCAACGAATGAAGGTTTCAATCAATTCAGCGTGGAAGCTCCTTGTTTGGTGATTTGTATTTTTTATAGTCGTAACGTTTATCTTAATAAAAATAATAATTGAATTGATAAAACCACTGAAATTTGTATATGTAAATTTTCTTGTTCTTTCTCTTTATTAAATTAGAATGTTGGTAATCATTCAATATTATAAGGTTGTAATACATTGTTGAACGCAATACTGACTTCTATAGGACGATAGCACTGTGCTGAATGACTCTAAACGTTTTTTTTTGTCACGCCTCTTTATTTAATTTTGTCACTTCGTTCAAGGAATGAGGGTACACAGATAACAATTGATATTAAAATATGTTGATTTAAAATGGAAACGGGGCTACATGTTGTACGAGGTGCATTTGATATAGATAATTTTTGGACTCTGGAAATGAAAACGAGGATAATTTGGTAACTGATTTCTTTTGGAACATCACGTGGTTCAAACGTTGAAAGTTCATTATATTCTGTAAGTGAAATAAATGTGTGTCTATAAACTGTATTGACGAAGGTAGTCATATGAACTTAAGTAGGCTAACATTCCTACTGCCCAGCTTTTATGTTGCAAATGAATATCAAATCTTACTAAACATTCTTAGGAGTCACCTGATAGTATGCTGTTTAATTTATATATCCCTGATTACTTATAATCTCCAATTCATAAACTTTTGCAGAACATACACTTCAAAATGTGAAATTGTTGCTAAATTTTCAGAGGGGCGTAAGAAACAATTTCATACTTTTTAGAAATAAGCGTCTAAAGATTTGAGTGTAAAGACCTTTTTGTGACATGACTGATTTCTTTAATTTTTGCTGTGATTCGAAGCTTTTTATGATATTTTTTCGTTTTTTTTTTAACATTTTTAGAAGTATCGTTATTTTACATTTGATTTAAAGTAGCAAGAACGGAAAATGAGATACGACTTTTGAAACTATTTGGACATATCTGATAAATTCCACAATGACGTATCGACAAACGTCATTGTAGAACTAAGCTATTATAATGAATGATTTATACGTCTATAGTTGTGATGATACAAAATTCTGCTGCCAAGGCGACTGCAGTATTAAATAAGTTGACAATACACTAAGTACAATAGAAAAACACTTTGTATCATCATCTCTACGTTGCAGTCATTGATAAATATTTTTAAGGCATTGAACATCACAGAATTTCTGTTTTGTGGGAATCGTGAGTCCAACCACAGTGTAAATGATTTTATTCCCGGATTATTTCCTTTGATGTCTCGCAATATCTTTACTACAGCACTTGATATTTAACGCTATTACATTAAGTAAGTCGAAACAGTTTACAACTTGTGCTTTGTCACAGCGATCACTGTCCCGTCCAATGTTTGTATGCAAGTCCAGACGGTTATAAGTTTAAGATATGTTCTTTAGTACCAGAAACCTTGCTAACATTATCACAGAAGTATAGCATCTGAAACACAACATGACATCACTCAATGAAAAACATGTTCATCTGTATTTGTTTCAACAAAAGTGTAATTCAACCGTTTACTATCATTAAACCACCCATTACATTTTCTTTAGCTATATGCAACAGTAGATTTTATAAGTCTTTAGAGTGATGTATGTCATTAAAATCCCTGGAGTGAGCTTTGTCTTGTGAAAGTATTTTACATATGTATCCGAATATCAAAGTATCCGAAAGAAGCAGAGCAGATGTCTGTATTATTCTACAATGAATCACTATACTTAACCATTTAAAGAATTTTCACTAAAAAGATTTAACAAGAAAGTCATTACTAAAATACTTATACTTACATATCCGTGGTATAATTTGGTGTAAATCTGAAAATATTTGTGACAATATATTTTCGGCATGTAACGGCGCCATGTTTTTTTTTCAAATCGCTCAATATGATTAGCTAAAGTTTTACGCCTATCTGGAATTAATCAAAAATATATTTATAGGTAATACGTCTTTCTGAAATTGATATTTTTGTTATTTTTGTTCTACAAGGACATACACCATACGAATGTGTTGAGCTCTCAAAACGAACAAAATGAAACCAAACGTCAAGTTTTGACATACGCCCTCAGAAAATAAATCAACCAGTTGATATTATGCTTAAACTTAAAAAATAATGGTATATTTTATGTATTCCGTGTGTTATTAGAGTGATTTCTTGTCAGCTGAGGCTTAAAATTTTTTTTATTTATTTAAATCGAACTGAGATTGATAGTTTATAATTAATTGATAAATATCAAATACTGCCAGTTAGATAATGAATTAGATTAATCAGAAGACAGTCTCAAATACCAATACGTTTTTTGTTACATTGAAAAAGACCATTAAAAAAGTTTCTCTTGAGAAAGAATCAGAGGACTATCACCTTCAAATTTATTAACAGTATTAAAATGTGTTCACTTTTCTTAATAATAAGTTTTAATGAATATGAAGTAGACAGGCAAACTGCAGCGTCTGCAATATCTATTTTCCTGGACAAGTTTTTATATAAGGTCAACAACATTTTCTATTCATCAGTTCTAGAAAATAAAATACTTATCTATACTGTATCAAAATTAGGCTAGAATAAACTTTATTAACAGTTTTAATTAAATATTTTTGGCCGTCCAATTTAAAATTTCTCTATCAACATCTCAAAACAATTTTTTAGACATGAAATCATTCTCTCTATTTTATCACCATATCAGCATTATTTTTCTGTGTGAAGACCGTAAAATGTCGCCCCGTAAGATGTTATATTTCGGACTTTTGAAGGTCGTTTAGCACGATATTATTGATGTGCTTGTGTTACTTAAAGTTATTTCGGTTTTGTTTTTTCTACGTGGATGGTTCCTGTCTTCCTTACTTCAAAAACTGTAGAACCTACTATAAAATATGTGGCCTTCTGTTTAAATTGGTCTTTTTACAGTTTATCAATGATATGAAAGCTTTATAATCTCCCGGCATATACGTTTCTTTGTATGTACTTGCATTAACGTGTCTCATTGAAAGTTCACAACCGCATCTGCGTATGTTTCTTAAATCAAAATTTTACAAATATCATGTTTAAAGGTTCTACTTCAGCCGGCACTAGGGTGCGTATAAGGTAGTTTGCACTTTACAGTACCATCCATGAACAGACTCAATTGAGTCTGCACCATTTTCAATGTTGCTGTTTTTGGAGATTTTTGGAGTTTTTTTATTTCTTATTATTTCATTTCACTTAACTTGGTGAAGAAAATTCTTCAAAAGATGTTATTTGATATACGTATATGGTAACTTAATTTAAAACGTCAATGTATGGAATTCATATTCATAAAATATACACAATGAAAATAGTTATATTTTTTGTCCTGTCATGATATAGCAGACTGTTTCTGTTGTCCAAACAAAAGCGTTGTTTTCTAAGCGATCACACTTAAAGTGTAGTTTCTGTACATATATGGACATTTAATAATAATCAATAAAAAAACACACACACACACACGCACGCACACACGCACACTTACACATAAGAATTTTCATAAAATCTTATTGTAAACATAAAATTAAAAAATACCTTTCCCAACTTTGTAAATTTTTTAAAGTAGAAAGCAATATTTTTTTTTCTAAAATTAAAATTGGGCATTTATTGCTTAAAAATGTTTGACTCAAATGACGTAAAACTTTTCTTCTATTCTTAAATCTCTTAAATGAAAGGCATTGCTATAATTTTCTTGTGAGATGTCCTTTTAGAAAACGCATTCGGCTTCAAAACGTATTATATATTAATTTGTATTAAACAAATACAACCTCAGCGAAAAAAGGAAGCTTTTATCATGTATAATGTGTTCTTTTTTCTATTTTTCTTATTTTTTCTTAATTTTTTTTAAAAACAGAAAAAATAGTGTTTTTGCAATGAAACCTCCCATTATCTTTAAAGCAATACGAATATAAATCAAAGAAATGCAACAATATAGATATAATAACAACATGTAGATATATTGATTTGTCATGTATATGACCACGTTTAATTTTAATAGTTTAAATTATTTTTGAAACATGTCAAGAGGGGAATTCCTGCATCCTATATAGTAAAAAGTCAACAGCAATTACATTACAGCGTCCAAACTTTGTCATTACAGTGTATAGGAACATTTTGAAGTATGTGCAAGTTAAAAAATATTAAGCACTCTTACCAGGAAATTAAAAATGTTTATATTGCTTAACTTTGTAGACCTTTATCGAAAGTAACAGGTATTTACATGTTATAGTGTCATTGTTATTGCTGAAATTAACCTTTGAAAACCTTTTTTTATTATGCAGGAAAATATTATATCTCTGCTACATTGTAATAAAAAAGGCTCAATCTGAGTCTATGTAATTTTAACTAGTCCTTCATTTTACTTGCTATTTGTGTTTTAAGTAATGCATATATATATACATATTGTGAAAAAATTACTGGCTCATTATCTTGTTTTACTACAAGATTTCTGTGTGAAATCGTTTCGTTGTGCTGCTGATTACAAATGTATTCCACATCGACTGAGGTGCGATCACTATCCTGACTGTAGGGATGGCGGAGACGAAGGGTTTTGCAAAGGGAATCCTCCAACTTCTGATGACTTCAGCAGTAAATATCTTTCGATAAGGAATATCCATGCAAGTAAGCAAGCTTCTTAAATAAAGGCATTACATTACCAATACACTATGGTAAACAAGACTAACACGGAAAAGTGGCGTTCAAGGAACGCTACAAGAATTATATTTGAGTCTTAAGAATAGAGTGCCGACAAATATGCAAATATGCTCGTGTGACTGTAATAAGTTTCATTGTAAATTGCTAGTTGACAGTTTTCAAATATTCTGACAGCTTTTGTTTGAAAACCTCTTTGCTTTTTCTTAAATGAGAATCATTCCTTCAGGCGCTTTAAATGGAAAAGAGAATAAAAAGGAAACAGATTTAAAGTGAGCAAAAAGTATTTATTTTAAACTTGGCATTTTAATTAGAATAGATATGACAAGTAAGTACATACAAATTTTTAACTTCCTCGAGGCATTTTGTCTCTTGTGCATTAAGGCCTATAGTAAAGATTGTCACATAAAAACTAATTCCAATAATAGTACTTGTTTAAATAGGGACTTATGATCAACGCGCGGTTATTTGTTTTCTATCAGATAATTTTGATTGGAAAATCATGCAAAAAGGAAACGATTCTGGAAGAATCAAATTTTCAACACCGTATTCAGCTCTACAGTTTCTTTGGTGGAGTTATCATAGAAGAAAATTTGTTTTTGACGAAAGCTATTCATGTTTTTATAAGGTAAGTACATTTCTAGCAGAGTTTGACCTCTAATTGCATTTTCATTTTTTTTCGTACATTAAAAATTATAGTGATTCGATAATGATTTAAAACATATCACTGAAAAAATAAAATTGTTATTATTCTTTTAATATATCATTCTTAGATTTTTTTCTGTAAGACCTAACCAGCATTGCTTTATGCAGTTCTAAAAGAAATAAAAAGACATGCATTCATTGAAGATGGTTTCAAATATTGTTTACTATATTCAGGTACTTGTCTTGTCATTTCTTTGTTTTTCCGTATATCAAGTAAACGTTAATGTTTTATGCTTAATTTTCCTTACATTTAATAATTGTGCAAAACTATTTTAAAAATAAGAATAAGATACACATTACACAATACATGATGTCACATTACAATGCTAAACGTATCCAATATGTATCCGAGTATACTACACTTGTCATGCAGAGAGCAATGATATGCATTTTCATTTTATCCAACACTTCTGTTCAGTAATATGTATGATATGAGAGGCGATAATTTTTTTATATCAGGTTCAAGCAGATTGCAAGTACGGATTTCGAGAAGCGGCATTTGTTGACAATTACCACAATGACTTTGCATATCCGTCCTGCCACTGCACAATAGGAACTTATAAAATACATCAAACTTATCTGTATGTATTTAAATAATATTTCTGTTTTTCATGAGAAAATTAAGCTTTGGTATAATTGAATGATATTTAAGTGTTTTGCTTGTTTAGTAATAGAAATTATGTTTGAAAGACCTGGAATTGATCATTTACTTCGTCTGTCAATTATCAGTTGGAGAAATAAAGTTTCCAAAGTTGATGCCAATCATATCAGATCTAAAATATCAATTTAACTGAATTTAAAATAAAGCCAAAATACAAAATATTTTATTTAAGTTTGTTAAATGAAAAGGCTTGAAAAATATTTTTGCAAACTGATAAATTGATAGTAAGTTCGGTTAAAGCTTTAAACATGCTATTTTATGGTAATTGTGTAAGAAGCTGTAAGTTCATTGAAACACTTTCAAATGTTTACTAAGCAAAGAGTGTAAACTTTCTTGCTCATGGAAACAACGGCTTGTCCCCCTACGGCATTTGAACCCACGCGGTCTGCAATCCTTATATTACCGTATAAGTGGTTTTTTTCTGCGGTGACTTTATTTCTGTGTATTCTGCGGTCAATTTCAGCACCGCAGAAATAAAAACCGCAGAATATTTCTCCAAGTTTTGTTTTTTAACCTGTTACGATATGTGTTCTACATTATGACCTGTTTCGTCTAAAGTAATAACGACTAACTGATTATAACGGTTGGCGGGTCATCGAGTTTTGTAAAATTGCCGTCAGCTATGTATGTATCTGTGCTTATACGGATGTACTTATTGTTAATTATGCCAATTTGTGAATATTTTTTTTAAAAATCATACATGAATAAGGTGTTTGCCAGGACCACTAAATCATTCAAACCATTTTAACCCTTATACTGCTAAATAATCGTCGTATATTTTAATTGTTGTCTGATTTATTTTAAATTTATATTAATTTTCTTAAATTAATGCAACTACCAAGATATATTTTTCACACGTCATTTCACGCTGATGCATACTTTTCTATTGTTGCGCATTATATTTCTTTGCACGCAAACAATAAATTTGTTTGTAATTACTGTAAAATTTTTGGGTGATGACGATAAACAAATGCGAATGTGTACAATGCAAATACAATAGGAAGAGTAATGAGATTTAGACCATGATAATATGAGCCGCAGAATTTAAAACACGTTTTGTTCAAAGAATGTGCCGCAGAAATAAATTCCGCAGAAATAAAAACATGCTAAAATTTGGAAAAACCGCAGAATTTGGAGCCCGCAGAAAAAACCGCTTATACGGTACTCTGCATATTAATATATAATATTTTTTATCAGAAAGAATTTATACACGTGTATATACCACCAAATCGAAATGTCAGACCAATCACTGCGCTTAGCATAGCATTCGTAAATGCTCAGCCATCACAAAAATGATATTTTCAGTTTAGCTTTATATACTGTCACAAATTGCACTTCAAATTGCTACTGGCTACAAATTCACATGTATAGTGTTTGTTCTCTGTAATATATCTGTTATCTATCTTAATAAAAGTTTGTTTCTGGCTTATCTGAAAGCATGCTGATTTATGAAAGGCAATGATGTATGTTATTGGTCATGTATGTTGAGAACATGCTACATATTTCAAGAAAATCAAACTTATATTAGATATATTTAGATTTTAAGTCGTAAAACATATTCAAAATAAAGTAATAATTTACATGCTATATGTGATTAAATACGGATTTTGCAGTATTTATCACCGTTTTTTCTACTGCGTGACAAACGCACTAAGGGCTATGTTCTGAGTAATGTGACCTCTAGTTCACGTAGAGTGTAAGTGCCGTTTGCAATGTGTAAATTACTTTCTTTGTTCACTTAACAATATTTTACTTTAAATGAATTTCCATGAAAATTAGCATGAATCTGGAGGAATGCTGATTTTAAATGTAAATAGCTTCCATTTGATGACAATGTAATTTTGGGGAGTACAGAACGGGGAGGCGGTCTGTACAAGAGACAAAAGTATTTCTCGAACAATGATATTTCGGATACAATTGCTTAATTATGTATAAGTGGTATGTAGGGTCGGAAATTTAGAAAGTTCCTGTAAACACAGTATAAAAAAACAACAAAAAAAAACGTTTTATATATGTCACATGATGCTGTTAGATTCAAATTTTCAGGAATTCTCGGAGTTCTTTTAATATGGTCTCGATAACCAGATGCGATGGAAGTGAAATCACGGAATCTCAGGATGCTGTAAGAAAAATTGTCGAGGGGATAAATACCGTTGGTGGAATAGTGTATGCTATGCCAGATTTCATAGACATAGACCCTGGGCTTCCTTACTGCTCCTACGGTACCTCGGCTTTATATTTACCAGTATAAATATAAATATCTTTAAATTTCTTTGATATGATGTCTACCAATGTTCAGATTATAATATACTATGTATATTTATGATCACCTCATGGTATTTCCCATTGCTATGTCATGTTTGTTGTATTATGTTGTATTTTGGGCCGGAGGCCTATGTAACAAGAATAAATTTTACTCTTTTCTCTTTAGTATAATCTTAACAAACATTAATATTTTCGGAACCAAATACAATTTCGTTCATTTCTTTCCAAAAAGAAGTGTCGTACTATTTAGGAAGATACAATTCTTCAAAAACAACAATATCTTTTAAATGATTTTGAAATCCTTTGAAATTGTTCATACTTTATCTTTTCATGAGCATAACTCAAAAAATATTAATTTAAGAGATAAAAATTTGAAAATTCACAAATTGATACACATTTAGGAAAGTTGCAGTAATTAATCAAAGAACAGAAGTACGAACGGGCTATATATCTGTTACTATGTTTTAATCTATGTAAACAATGCAGTCGTACGATTTTAGACATATGAAACAGACTATACTGCAAAGTGAAAATTATTTAGTTAGCCACCTATATTTTTTCTATGAAAATGACAATTATTATTTTGTATCCCTGCAATGTCTCATAATTCCCTGAACAAATCTATTCTAACTAAAATAATTAAAAACGCACTTGCGAAAAATGATTTTCTCAAGAATGCCAATAGATTCCACAAATATGTGCTGCACATAAATAATAACATTTTTCGATTGTAATAAAATAAAATTTGTAATAACAAGGTAATTAAATAAGTAATATCCAGGACTGCAGCTTATTAATTGAACAAAACGATTTAGATCTATTTCACATGACTAAAACAGAAAATATACAAAAAATGACACTCGATTGTTTGAATGATGTGGTAGCTAGTTTAAGCCTTTCTCCTAGACGCTAAACACATACTGAATTGGGCAAGCAAACATACATGTACATGTGCAGAAGTATCACCGTCATCCTAAAAGCATAGCTTTCAGATTTGTATTCTTTTGTTAGTGTCATGCGAAAACTGTTGCAGGTATAACATTGTTAGTGGAAAATGTATATTCAAACATTAAAACTTTATCTCTAAAGCTGTACAACCTTTGTATTTTTAAAACGATTTAATGACACGTGAGATATCATATTGTTTATAATTTTGTTTTTGTTGTTATATTTAAGTTTCGATTCTGGTTAGATATTTTGCATTTGCATATTTCGATTTGTTTTTAGTTATTTAAATCAAATAATTTACTTTTTTATCTACAGATTACAATGCAAGCGTATTTGGTGAGTTTTTTATATGTGAACGAGACGAGATAATCATACCAGAGTCGATGATTTGTATTTATGCCGTAGATGCCAGCGGTTACATGACAGGATGTAGATCTGGAGACCATTTACAAAATTGTGGTAATGAATATATTTATCAGATAATATAAATAATATGTTCTTATTTCAAAAAATATGAAAACAAGATATTTTGTGTCCGGTTTTATTCCCGATAATTTAACCAACGTGTAAACCAGTAAGCGGAATGGACCCATCAGTCTTATTTCGGAGGGAGTAATACTGCATTATTTTGCGAAAGGGGAAGAAAATACATGATGTAAATTTGATTTTAGGGGAAAATTGAACGTTTAAGAATTTTCCTTGAGACAGGGTTAATGGGCATTGAATGGGTTTAAAATAACCACTTTTAAAGGGGAAAACCGCGATTTTCCAGTACAGAGGATAGGCGGATATAGCCGGCCGGAGACGAGGCACTTTTTAGAATTTACTATTCCAAATATGGAAGAACCCATACTGGGATTTATTTTGTGACCCAAAGTGAAAGTGCATGGTATTCTTCAAAGGACTATAAATTCTTGTATAAGCGCCATGTGTTTGCCCAGACTTTCTCTTACACAGTTTAAATAAGATTTTATATGGAATAAACACCAGTCATAGTCTTTAGTCACACGAAGTCCCTGTAAAATTCTGTCATAATACATTGTAATAATTCATTTAAATTGCGATCTCATTTTTATTATTACGTTCTCGAAAGTTATGATATAGCCTATTTCAAAGTTTAAAAATATAGCTGTTATGATTTGCACACAAAGAGGCAACCCTCTGAATTCCCTTTATCACTTTTGCCTTTTAGGGAATGAAGTAGCCAAATGAAATACCATTTGGCGTAGAAATGAAGACATTTGAACATGTTGAGTGCAATTCTTCTTGACCTTAAACTTTTTATTATCTTTTTATTTCCAATTAGGCTCATGAAATCACAAGTTTACCTCTCAAGAATCTAATTTAAATGTATTTAACAATATTTTGATAATGAATTTGGAGCAAAAATTATAAAACTATTACTGATATCTAGATTTCTTTAAAAAATAACTTGACAAATGGCCAAAGAAAATATAAGCAAATTGAGATTCATGCTAATGAAGTGTAAACAGTACATCGAAAACAAAAAGAAACTTTCTTGTAATTTAATATTGTATGGTTGGGGGGGATTTAACAAAAGACGAATATAAAGGTTACAACTGAATTGCACACAATTAATCATTGCTAAAGAAGTGAGAAACAAAAGAATGTGTTTTTTTATTTTGTACTTCTTTTTATATTTTTTTTTTTTTTTTTCAGAAAAATTTCCGTGTCCTGAAAATACAGTGAAATGTCCTGGAAGTTACTGTATCGAGCAGAGATTTCTATGTGATGGGCATATAGAATGTCCTGGAGGAGAAGACGAACAAGATTGTAGTAAGTGATCAAAATTTATAATAATTATTATAACTAAACTTAACACATATTTTTGACCAAAATCAAACTAAACGAAACGAATAAGCGCGTACGGCTGCTATAGCAGTCATTATACTTTAGCCAACATTTCATTTTTTTTCGAGGAATTTGTTGCTTTTTAGATCATTTGCGAGAATGTCGAACTGACTATTGATGTGAAAGCGACTTTTGTCTTTCGTCAAAATATTTATTTTCCAAGATCATTCATTAGAATGACGAGATGATTAGAGTATTACTGACGTTTTTTATGTTGTTGTTTTTTTTTTGTTGTTTTTCTTTTATATATATTTTGGAGAAAAAAACTCTCGTCATGTCGTCTTTCTCACGAATGATCTTGAAATATAAACATTTTTAATGGAAACACTTTGATGAGGTCAGGAAAATAATGTCTTAGAACTGAATATGCTTATTCATTTCTCTCTATTTGGTGAACAGAAATATTAGTTCATTTACTTTCCGTAGTGCACTTTTCGGGAATATAATTGCACGGCTCTGCGTGACTTTTTGCACTTCCGGTCATTTGCATTTCCTGCTTACGGGGATATACGCATAATAAGTTAAGAAGTTCTTTTGAGTTTAGCTATGAAATGATTTTTAAAATATTCTTTTTTTAAATTTTACAAAGCAATCATTAAAATCGAATCCCCGTTTCAATTTGATGTTACGTCTAGCATAAAATTTTTCAAACCCTTTACCTATTTGTTTTATGAAAAAATTTTTAAAAAGTTTTTCTGTCTACGGCGTTTTTTTCAAAAAGGGGTTGTCTGTTGTCAGGAATGATAAAAACTATGGGCCTATAGGTTTATTAAAAAAAGTATCTTGTGACGGTTAAAACTCGTTTGAATACTAATATTTTAAAAAATGTAAAACATGCTGTGTTCTTGTTAGGTAATAGATTAAGTATTTTTCTGCCGAAGGCCGTCTAAAATTGAACAATTTACAGGGAATAATGGAATAAATGTAGAAGTTTCATTGGCAGGGCCAAAACACCATTTTTGGGGAAGGGGCGTCAGCCTTTTTCTTGGGGAAATATGCGTGATTTTGGCATACTTTGGGGAAAGGGGTCTAAAATTTTAAAACCCAAATTTTAACAAAGTTTTTAAAATAAAAAAAGAAAAAGCACGGGGGAAATACTAATAAGACCAATTCACCCAAATCTTTTAAATTTTGATCTAAATTCTATGGGTTTCAAAAGACTGGGGGAATTTTTAAAAACCAAACTGGGGAAAAAGGGGCCCATTTGGATAGGGAAGAAAAGGCTATATTTGGGGCCTTTTAAAAAAGAAGGGTTTTTTGGTCCTTTTTTGGTAAATTTTAAAAAATTAAAAAACGAAATTTTTGGAATCTAAATTTCCCCATTCTAAAACAAGGTGAAAAAAAAGGTTTTTTTAAATATTTATTCTATTTCAATCTTTTAAAAATTATGGGGGTTTTTTGGAAATAAACAAAATTTTTCCCCTTTTGGTTTTTTAAAAAAAATTTTAATAATTTCTAATTTTCTCTTTTTTTTTTTTTTCTTTTTATTTAATTTTTTTAAAATATTTCAATTGTTTACCTATGCTTTCCAAAAATTGTTTTAAAATTTGCTTTTTTTACATCTCATTGAGTTAAAAAATTTTTCGTTCAAATAAAAATCCAAAGGGGAAACCCGTTGACGTTTCGTTTCCCTAAAACTTTCCCGCATGTTTAATTTTTCGAAAAAACAAAAACCAAAATTATTGGATTTTTGTTTCGTTAGGGCCCCAGTTTATTTGGGGGCCTTTTACCTTTTATTTTTCCTTAAGTAAAGGGAACGTGGGGAAATATTTGGTGACCAATAATCAAACCGGACTTTTAAAGGAACAATTTTGTTTTTCACGAACAAAAAAAATAAATCACTGTTATGAAAAAATTCTTTGTTAAATATTGAATTGTTAGGGTTTACCCGGGACTGATGTTTATTTTTGGTTTCGGACAGATTTTTCAAAAAAAAATTTTTGAAAAAAAAGGGTTTTTGGGTTTTAGGAAACATTAACCCAAAAAAATTACAAGAAAAACTGCAGACTGGGTTTAAATGAGTTTTTGAAAGCCAAATTTAAATATCTATTTAGCTTGGGGATTTGTTTATTATAAAACCTGTAAAAAAACCCAAAAAATAGGGGGGTTCCCTTTTGTTTTAAACCCCAATATGGCTATGCCACTAAAAATTTGGGAGCATTTTTTTAATTCATAACCCCATTTTTTAAGTTTTTTAAATTTGGGACCCCAAAAGTTAAAACAAGGAAATTAAAAAATTTTAACAGTTTACTTTATTTAATTGTGATAATCTGTAAAAAAAATTAAATGCCCAAAAAAAATTTTTAAAAATTAATAACCCCGTGAAAATTTGCAAAAAAAAAATTTCCCAGTTTTTAAAGATATCTTAACACATAAACTGCATCAATTTTTGACCCCCCAAAAGCCGGATTAAATTTCCCCTTTAAAGTAAAAGTTTTGGCCCGGGGTCATTTGCAATAAAAAGTGAAAAATAATTTTTCCCAAACTAAAAAGAATGACATTTTTGGGCCCCAATTATTTTGTCTTAAAGGAGGGAAACACCCTTTTAATTTTAAAATTTTTAACCGAAAAAGGGGGCCCTAATATCTTTTTACAAAAACCCCCAAAAAAAAAAACAACTCTGTTATGCGTTTGGGGAGAGAAATGTTTATTTTAATTGTATGTCCACGACTAAATAGTTAATTTTTAATTTCACTTTATGAAAAACCAAAAATTTAAAGGACAATGGAGGAATAACATCTTACAAAAAACAGTTTATATCTACACGGAATTGAAAATAAAAATCTGTGGGTTTTAAAATTTTTTAAATATTTTAAAATTTTTGGGATTAAAAAGATATAAATTATTTGCCCCTTTTGGCAAAAATTTATGGGGGTTTAGGCTTTTAAAAAAGGAGGGGGTTTTGGAAACAAATTTTTATTTGAAAAAGTTTTTTTTCAAAAAATTTGATTCGGCAAATCCGTCTTTAGGAATGAGCGCCGCCACGAACAACCTAACCTACTTTGTAGGGGTTAACGTTGTTACCGTGGCATGCCACGTTAAAGTTTATTTGTAAAGCGTAAAACTTTAAATTCATTCCTCAGGATAAGGAACATCACAGAACATTCCGAAAATGCTAAAAAAGAAAATCAATCACCAAAGGTATCTACACGTTCTTGATATCATTCTTGAATGTTGAATTTGAAAATTGCCGTCGTTAGAAAAATCTCGCTTTAGAACTGATTTCAACAATCAATACGCGCCAAAACATTAACTCTTTTTTCACGAACGTGACAAAACCGGTTTTGTTATACAATGTTACTCCGTAAGGACAAATAGTACTTCAACTATTACGAGAACGTTTGAGCGTACTTAAAAAGTCCCAACTATCTTCTACAAAAACAAGAAATACAACTCTGGTATGCGTTGCGAGAGATAATTGCTTATAGAAAATACAAGTATAAAGCGGAAAGAAATTCAAATTCAAAAACCGATAAAATATTAATAAAAATGTACTATAATTTAAGAATCTTTCGGCTAACGGATCAATCTTTTTTCTAAAGAATCCTGTACGTAAACCGTCCTTGGCTATATCGGTCTTCCAATTCGGACCGTGTCTCTTAAGACATCTGTCAGACACACTCGACGCGTTCCACATTTGTAGCACCACTTTGCCTCTTAAAGAATGTGTACCAAGATCTAACTCGGCGTTCCAACAAGCCTTTAATTTTTTAACAAAGACATTCCCTAGCGCGTTGTATAGCTCAAGCTTTCTGTACCTTTTTTCACTAAATTTGAAATGTTTTTTGAACGAAAATAATGGTTTGTCCAACTCTAAAGATAATTTTTGCATGCGTTACGCTAACGTTGTAAATTAGAATAAGGATCAGCTTTGTGTTAGTACCTTTGGCTTAAACAATTTCAGATCCATTCCTATAAACAATCGGTTTTGCTTTGTCTTAACCATTAACCAAATAATGATCTCTTTTAAATGAATTATGAATGAATATCATTACAATGTAAATTGCTTACTTCGTCTTTATGCCATGAACCCTAAAAATAAATCATAGCTAATCTCTTAAATCAAATTACGCCACGGAAATGATTCATATAACGAACACAAAGAATCTGAATCATTTCAGTTGTAAGAGTGCTTTCTTATGAACTGGTTTTCGAAACATATACGCTTTTGGAAGCTTCAAGTTAATTGTTTGTAAAAACAATCTATTTCTTGTCGTATCAGAATAGTCATTCAAAGAATGAACCCACTTAACACTGGTTAAAAAACAGATGAAATTACATTATATATTTTCCTGATCCATTAAGAAATGTTAGTACATAGCAACCGATATTGGTTGCTGGCAGGGTAACTGCAGTCAGACCGTTGCGTTTAACACAGTTAATTTTAAACAATAATTGAAAGGAGAACGATTTTTTCTTAACGGTTGTATCGCTTGACTGCGTCAATTAACTGGCCATCTGTTCCGTGATGCCTACATGAGATTGATGATGGTATTTCCTGCCTCGTCCATTTTTCCTTTTTACGTGTCTCTTAAACCAAGACCTGTCAAAAGATAAATGTAATTATTATAATGTGTTTAAGGTAAGCATCTTAAAGCTAAGCATGTCAAACGATAAATAATCTTTACCGAAACACCATTATTTCCGTCCACCGGGTAGTGACGCAAAAATCTTCCTAAATTTTCTTATTTCTTTTATAAATTTTTTTGATATTTTCCATCAGCTTCAATACATGGCCAAAATGGCGCACTTTCCCATTTCGGGGAAAATAAGCGTACATTTTCGCTTGTTCCGCGATTGCAACTTTTTTTATACAATCTGGCACCAGCCTTGGTGGGCAGGAACTAACCAATTTTATATCATGACCCCAATTACTGGGATTTAAAGCATCTACTCTTCTGTCCGGGGAAACCCACCATCGCAGA